GTTTAGAGTACAAGGTCGAGAAGATGATCCCCATCCTAGGTCGCCCAGCTGCAGTTGCTACAAATTCCGGCGGTGTTTTGCCCTTTGTTTGCGGCGGTTCCACCGGTGATCGCGCTAAGTCAGCGTGGCAGAGACCTGGTGCTCCTAACGTGGCATTTCATTTGGAGGGTATGCAAAAACACCTCTGAAATTCAATTTAATGAATGTTATTATGAGGTTGTTTCACAAAATCAAGACTTGTTTCATGGCTTCGTGTTGGGCGCCTATTAAACCACATTATTTATGTCATGTCAGGAGTTTGTTTGAGACATGGTCAGCTCATGAGTCGAAGATGGGAAGTGGCATAGTTGGTTGGCTCTTTGTGGAACATCTTGTTTTATGCAATCTTCCGGATCTGGTAGCCCTTCAAAGTCGGCATGCCGAAACATGAAAAATACACACATGGTCTTTGTTTGTCCATGCTATGCAAGATGACATCAGGTTGTCATCAATTGTCATCCATGCTTTGCATAACGCTCCATCAACATCACCTCAGCATATCCAGCCCCAGCCTTGAAGCTTTCAAAAGACAAGGGATCCTATGTCCGAGAAGCCAAGTCACTTTGCAACATATAGAATCTAGAAATTACATCAACAAGTAAATACCTGAGCCTGAGAACTATAAGCAGTTCTACTTGCAGTGAGTCATCCGTCACTTTCATGCACTCACCTGACTCACATGACTCGCCTTCCTATTTCAGTTTGAGGATCCCAGGAATTCAGCACTGTTTGAGGCCTTGACGTGTGGGAGCATGCCTACTACCTGAAGTATCAGAACCGACGAGCCGACTATGTGTCTTGGATCCGCACCCTCCTTTTCTTCGGCGGGGCGCCCTCCTTTCGCACCTCCTGGTTTTGGAAAACGGTCGCAGTTTGGACTCACGTCGTCACTCTCGTTTGAACGACTCTCAACTGCCGGCACGACCCCGTGTGGACGGGCGTTCATGTCGCTTTCATCCAAAAGGACGGAGGGAAGGTACCCAACCACTGTGATTGCAGTTTTCCGTTTTGCATGTTTTCTTTGACAGTGTTTTTGCATGCTAAAGCTAGGCAAAATCAACAGGAACCATCCTGCGCAGGAACACTTGGGTGAGACAGGAGTCATTCCACGATCAGCATGTGATCGTGTACTCCTTCTCAAAAGTCTCCACCATCGACCGTTCTTGTACAGAGATTAAAGGACCAAAAGAAGCCACATTGTCCCACTGTTTTAAGAATACATAATACTGTAACAAGACGACTCCAAGTACTGTACTGTATCATGAATCATGATGTATATCCCCTAGGGCTCCGACCATATCCTCAGAAGATGGTTAGACCCCCCTGGCACCCACCTTAACCACCTTGGAAACGGAGGTAGTTGGAGCCCTAGGGATCATGTTTGTTTTTGACCACGTTTCCGCACAGTTTCATGACGTGAGAGAGATTCCGGCCGCCAAGGTCAATGCATTCTGGAACATCATCAACTGGAAGAAGGTTCGCCCTGGGGTCGTCGCTGCTCTTTTTCGCCCTTTGTCGGATGTTCTTTGCCAACTTACCGCATCGGTTGTGGCGCGGATGCACGAATAAACAAACAACAGGTCCTTCCTTTCCGGTGGTTGGGGTGATCAAAATGGGATGAGACGCAGACGATATAGAGAGACATCCGTACTGGCTGTTATGGTTTCCGACAGTCCATGAGTTTTGGTCATGGCTTACCAACGGCTTGCCACCATTGGGTGTGCTCGAAGGGCAGAGCATGGTCCCACTAAGTTGTTGATTTAGAACATCCGGCTCAATTTGTTTGTTTGACAAAAGGTATCAATTGGTATTTAATCTACCCAAACCTTCAACACCTCGACACCGTGGGGTGCTCAGTTATTGTGGACTTGCACATGATACACTCTGATACACAGTGATCGACCTTTGGTCGTTGGTTTTGATCATGAACATGTCCTTTACCAGGTCGGCGCCACATCAATCTGACGACTCTTGCTGAGGTCAGCCGGAACTACGAGGAGTATGCCAAGAAAGGCGGCACGGGGCTTCAAAGACCAGGAAACACTGGCAGCCTGTGGGTATTTTTTTTTTGTTTGAGGGTTTCCAAAACAGTTGTAATATGTTGTAATGAAAGGATATGGATCCCCCCAAACATGTCTCTGGGCATCCCTCACTTGAGTGCACCAACAAATGGTTCCAAAGACACCGAATGCAGCTGTTCCTTTGAACGGCGGGCACCGATCGGGTCGACGATCGAAACCGAGTTTGCCCAGTGGTCGTCATGAAGAACACTCATGCTCGACGAAAGGAAACGGCGCCGGAAAAAGCCAGGGAAGCCAGTGCCACCGACACCCACTGGCAGCCCGGGGCCCCGGGCTGACTGAGATTAGAGGAAGCTGACTGAAATAGATCACTGTATGGGGATAGGGATTGGTTCTCTACGGTTCCATTTGGACTCTGCCCAAATTCTAAGAAACCTGGTTGCTTGGGGAGACATAGACATTGCTAGGCCTTGCGTTGACTCTACAGGTCATCAAGAACGTGTCACTTTGACCGGTTGGAGAGTATAGTATATGGGCCATGCGTTGGTTTCCCTTGTTTGCCATGCAAATGTTTGAAGTCTGTGTGACGCATCCAGTTTCCCACAGTAATTATTAGATTCCTTTGGGTGGCTGTAGACTGTGGACACTAGTTGTTCCGAACGCAACTTCACAGTACTCCAACTGGTCTCTTGTAGACTTGCAAGTTGCAGGTACCCTGTTGGCGGGTGGTGTCAGCAAAAGGACCTTTTGTGACCCAGGGACGGTTCTCAAAAATGCGCAGAAGGAAAAGAAAGGTGTGTCAATTGTTCATTCCAAGAGTTTTGGAGGAGACGGTGGAGACATCCAATTCGTGTCCCAGAAGCAAATTTTTGGGAATTCTGCGCCCATGCAACGCTTTGGGCGTGGGGTGTGGCTAAACCTTGGGAATGTTCGTTTTCCCTGCTTCGAGTGCGACATGAACAACCGCATGGGTGACCTGCTGGACCTGCTGCCGGAATATGAACCATCGTTCCTAAGCCCTAAGCACCTGTTACCAACAACATGAACAACCACAAAGATCTAAGATCATCCGACTGCATGTCATGATGTTTGGCATCACCCAGCCGAACGTGTTGGAAAAGCGACCATGGGTGAGTGATGTTTCGCAACGGCGATCAAGAAACCCTCCCAAACTTACTGGCTGGTGACCCACTTACCAGCCACCTTCCTAAACAGACACGTATGGCTCACGAGAAGAGTACCAACCTGGCAGCCACGGTGGAGAAGTGAAATGCAATCAAGACTTTGAAGATGAACATGAACCCACGGGTGCATCCAAACCGAGGACCGAGGGCCGGCAATCCACTAGGCTTTCTGCTCGTCAGTCCTTTGGTTTTGAGTCAGGTGGATGTGTCGTTTCCATCCGTGGAGCTCTCAGGTGGTCACGCTGTGGAGCTTTGAGTGATGGGTGACGGAAGCATGTCGGAAGCGTGTGGTATGGTCGCAGAAGACCGGGTCGTACCGTCAAGGCATTGACATGTTGAGTGAACAATTTAAGGAGTTGGGCTTCCACTTGAGTTTGAGTTCTTGCAATGCACAGAGTTTCCGAACAAAGAAAAAACATCAAGTCGCAGAAAGCAAAGCTTGACGAGGTGTCAGAACGGAGATTTTGACCACTGCGTTCTGTGACGTGCGTTGGGCGGCGACCGACTGCGCCGATGTACAGGTCCATTTTAAGCGTCCGACAAGTCTGAGTGGAAGCAGAGACAATCAAAAACACCCAATACGCAGGCGAAGGGGCACATAGCAGAGCTTGAGTTTGCCAAAAGGACTGTGATATTTGGCCAGGAGTAACTGGCAAATCAACTGAAAAAGACCAAGCTCACACAGACTCACGAAAAGCCACATATCAGGTTTTGGAAGAACGCTGTACGACTCCACTTTGACTTTGCCCATTGACAGTTTGGCTGCCTTCCACATTGGGTGCAATGAGTTTAGAAAGACTTTGCAAAGTATTGGAGAATACACTGACAGAGGTGGACCTTCAAGTCACGGCACGCAGGGCCATGGCTTTTTCAGTAGACAATGAAGTCACGGCAGAGTCCTTCCCAAAGAAACCGGCAGGTCCTGAACGAAGATTCTTCAGTCCTTCAATGGGTAGGCACTTGTTGTGGCTTGGAGCAACAGCTAAAGGTCAAGCATTCAATGCCATAACAGAACACTACTCGGCCAGCAAACTCAAAATTGTCCTAATGTGTGTATGAAGACGTGTATGTGTGGAAAACGACCCGTTGGGGAAAACGTATGGAAAAACGTGTGTGAACCTGGTTTTCACCACTTCTCGCCACACCTCGCTACCGTGCCATGAGGTGTTTGTGTTGCATGACCCTTGGAGGCATCATCCTGATGTAGTCAATGCAATCACATGTTGGTTCCTTGCCTGGTATGTGTTGTTGCCAAATTTTAGATGCATCTAGAGATGTCATGTTGACTGTTTACCTTTCCGGGGTGGAGACATTGCACGCAGTATTGCACGCTGCGCGCACATTTTTGCAAAAGCCTAAAGCCTGCTTGTACCCAATGGTGAAAGGCTGGCTACTACGATCGCCCAGCATTGGCACAAAACAGTGGCAGCAGGGCCTCAGCAGGGTTTGGTGGGATGTCGGCCATTGAGTTAGCCACAGCTTTTGGTGGACACCGAGAAGTTTCGATAAGACCCGAAGTGCTGTGGGTGGTGCACTGCAATGAGGGGACAGGTTGAATGCTAGCACCAGTGCTAGCACCTTTGGCACTTGATTGACAACATTTGGTCATGTTATACATCGACATTCAACATCCATGTCCACGTCCGGTCCTTCAGAAACTCTCTTCATCAGACCAGCCATTTCGGTCTCCCCCCCCCCCCCGCCGCGAAAAGCCCGACTCCATTGCCACTCGGGTGGGACGCTGCACGTGTCGCAGGTGGTACGGCGTCTGGCCGAAGTCAGTCCCAAGACGTCGCTCGGAGGGACGTCGGACGGCGGGTGGGATGAAGAGCATGCTGGAAAAAGGAAGAGCATGCAGGTGGGGTCATACAAGGTTGCCTCCCTTGACTATATAATGTGTTAAATAAAAGAGGGAAAACACAATGTTTTACCAATATATAACATATATATATAATATGATATGTTTGCCCATTTACTATTAATTTACAATAATTTACCATATATATATATATACATGAGGGTACAATTTCAGGTAACGTTCCATGTTTGACACATGGACAGGTGAACGTTGGGATTGTCATCCCAAAGAGTCGCCATCTACAGATCTTAGATAGTGTTGTGCTGGGGAGCTCACCGGGCCGCTCACCAGGAGTGTTTTTAAACATGTAACAATGCCAGAGTCGGAAAGCCGAAATGATTTTGCATGATTGTAACAGATATTTGAACAAAGGTCCTACAAGTGAATTTGCATTCTCTGGATGAGACATGCTGCATCATGTTGCTTCACTTGCATAGAGGGACAGAAAGGATAGGAGGATGCTGTCATCATTGTGCAATGCCATAATGCTGAAAGATGTGGCTATAGTTCTAGCATTAAGCTCTAGGAACCCCTATGTCGTAGACAACTTTCCATTCTTTATAAAGAGTGGGTTTGGACGATATCCCATATTCGAGCCATAGCCATGTGGTTGTTGTCTTGTACCTTCGATGCTCCCGAAGTTACCCAAGTGGGAATCCAAGGGACAAACAACCCCCCCGATGGGACGCTTGACTGAGGTTGAAACAGTGAGCCCAAGCTGGTGACGAGCGGATGGAGAGCGGATGGAGCAGCCTGAAAACCAGCCATCTGAGCTCCCCATCAAAACCTCGACCAAAACCGACACCAGGTCTATCCGCTCTCTTAGACCTTCCGCTCAGGTCTATCCGTGCGCGGCCACGACCCTGCCGGGCAGCAGTCGATGTCTCACCCATTGGGCGGCCACGACCCAGTCGTCGACCGCCAGCGAGAGTGTCCCTGGAGAGAAACGTCGCACCGCCGCCCTGGTCCACGCGACCTCCTTCGGGTCGTCCCGTGAGGTCAGCCAGCGCCGCGTGGTGACAGGGCGCGATCTATCTGGGCGAAGTCCTGGGCGGCGTTGCACCCCGATTCTTTTGGGGTGGAAAGGCCTTTGAGTTGAACATCTTTGGGTCGTTTGGGATTCCAGATCTTTGGGTTTGGTGGTGAGGAACATGTGTGTTGACTCAAAGGGATGTCCAGTGTTACAGACTGGTTCCACTGAAGCTCAGATAAGCATTTCGCTTTGAAGCTCGCGGTTCTTGGAATGGCCCTGTGTTCAGCCCAATGGATGCGAGTCACATCGTGGAGACCCTGAGGTTTTGTTCGCTTGACGTTAGCTGGTCTGTGATAGACAGGGGTATTTTCCGCGGGCCACTGGATGAGATCATCCAGGTTCTTGTAAGTGCAATGGACCACGCTCCACACAGCTCCACCGCCGCTAACTTTGCAATTTGGAATCCGCCGCCAGCCACTTGTGGCTCTGCCAAATCTCTCCATACAGGGGCCCCTATATTTATTCCACGAACGTTGGCAGAGGTTTTTTTTCTGACCAATAGCCTCAAAGTATCGGATTTATCAGGTAAATATAGGGTGCCCCATATCACGCGACTGGAAGGTGCAACGAACTAAGTGGTCAAAGTTGTTCATCCACAGCAAGACACATGTTCTTGACAGGTGTGAGTGTCTTTGGGCCGGCGAATCCAAGAGGTCGAGTCTATTAGGCATGAAACTGGCTCTGTGTCCAAGAACTTGGCATTTTGCGGAAGCAGAAACATCTATTCAGATTCACGAAAGCTAGCCTCAGCTAGCTGAAGTTGCTCTTGCTTTAGCAAGTTAAATTCCGCGGTGGACGCGCCTCAGAAACCTGAAATAATATCACCAATGAAGGAGCTCAAAAATAGCCAACTTCCAACCTGAGACTCTCGAACGTCTACAGCCATGGTGCGGGCCGAATTCGTGTCGCTGGGCGTTCCCGAACATGAAGATGTTCATGGAAATGACTATGTGCCGCGGCCTTGTTGGATCTGTATGGGTGTTTTGTATGAGAGCCCAGCAACGTTTGAATCACATATGTTTTGAACAGTCACATGTTCATTCCTATTAAACGACTAGTTGATGCATGGTTAGTGTGCTCTTCTAGAATCCAATCTATGACTCGTCCCAACCCGTCGAGTCTGGATGTTTTTTTTAAAGAATACATCGTTGGAAACAAGTATCCATGCAATGCTTCTGGGATGCGTCCTGGTCACAAGATGGAGATATTGTGTACATGGTGGAATGTTAGGTGTCTCAAGTGTGGCATGTGCATGTGCAGTTATTTTTTCTCCAAGAGCAATGCGTTTTTCTCCACATGAATGAATTGAGGCAGCACTTGGATGTATATGATGGGCAAATTGTGGGTAGTGGTTGAGTACATTTGGGTACACTTGCCCCGGAGCATTCTTAGAATAGGACAGGGACCTTGGTCGAGGTTGGCAAGTTCGGCCAGGTGATGTCATTGTCGGATGGTTTTTTAAATGCATGTTTGTGCTGCCAAAGGCTTTTTTGGGGGGAAAATCCTGCCTACATTCTTGAAGAACCACAGGAAGGTATTAGAGGCTAATAGTTGTATAATGTATTCCTTACTGGCCAAACAAACATAGCGTAGCAATATGTAGCAATGGTTTTCGCAGCAACAACTGGATTGATTTTGTTGGTTCACCCACTTCCAACGGAGGACCCAAATCAGATGCATCTTAAGGTGGCTCCAGAAGAAATGCGGGCCAACGTGTACACTGTACACCTTGGCATCGCCCCTCGCTTTATGCCAAGAAAACGGGCATTGGCTCAGATGCTGCCCTCAAACCCATGAAACATAAAGGTGTCCACATACATACTAACCACCATGTTTTTGCTATGGAACACCAGGTGTTTGGGATGCTTTGTGTTTTTCTTTGTGGTCAGGTGTCCCACCATCACTCAGGTGCTGCCGGCCATGCTGGTGATCTCTGTGATGTTGCTGCTCTCACGGGCTCTCCAGATCTCATTGGCCAGTTGCCGCTACGATCGAGGCGCCCAGAAAAACACCGACGCGAAAAACGGACGCGAGAGCCCGGAGGCCCTGGAGGAGGGCCAAAGCTCCGCGAGGTTACGCACTTTCCATCATGGGAGATCAACTGTGAGCCTCAAGAAAGCTGCCAAGATATGAATCCCAGGTCCATCATGAAGGTCCATCATGCCATTTTTGCTTTTCCAGCACACATTGCCTCAACTCCACACCTTCGAGACATGGCGGTAGAAGTGTTGTTTTCAAATTCGTTACTTGCTTGTTGGTTAAACTACAGGAGTTGGTCACCAAGGCCCTTCCCAGGTTGAAGCTGTGCTTGCTGAGGACATCGCGGTTTCAGCCATCCACAGACATCAATGGGTCAAGACCCTAGAAAACCTCCAAAACCGTCCCCACGTGGGTGACCCAGGCAGTCCCACCATGCGTCGAACACTGAACGTTCCTCTTTTGTTTGGTGGATCCCATTCGTCTAACAGCCCCCGAGACACTCCATGATTACTGTCATTTTGTTCTTGTATGGACTTCCAAATAGATAGCAAAGTCGATCCCGACTAGTCCTAAAAAGGTATTGGAAACCGTGCACTATCTATTTGGGAACCACTAGACATTGGGATCGACCTGGGGTCCACGGCAAATCTTCCAGTCCCAGACAGGTCGTGTTTGGGCTAATGGATCGATAAAATTGGTACGTTGACCGAGGCAGAATCCGTCGGTGAAACCACTTGCAAAAAAGGTCTGACCAGACTGACCACGGATCTTTCGAGGACATGCAAGGTTTGGTTTAGTCATCGCCATGTTTGGTATTTGGTCTGGTTGATTTGAAAAGAAAAATGCATCTATTTAGACTGAATGATGTTTAACATCGTTTATGATGTATACTACTCTATTTCACCTCATCCCACAGGTCTTTGGTCATAGGAGACCGCTCCGAGACCCCCCATCGTTCGCGCCAGGCGAGATTCCTGACACTGACAACATCTCCAGGCGCGGCGCACGGCGCAGCCGATCCGCGACACGAGCCGCAGACGGTTGAGCCGCACACGGTAGCCACTGGTAGCCACGGGCGCCGCACATGGTTGAGCCGGTTGGCCTAGTTATGGTTGCTGCACATGGTTTGCCGACTTATGGAAGTTGCTCAGGAGCTTTGGCTTGTTTTCGGACACTGATCACCAGACTGCTGGAGCAAGTACTGATCACCAGAGCATCAACAGACCAGTCTTGGGGACGGTGTTCATCTAGGTCGGTGTGATTGGTCTTTTGTTGACCATGATCCTTCTAGCTTCTAGGTCAATACCTAGACACCCGCGAAGATAGCAGCGAGTTGTTGAGATGGTTGTATTTGCTTATAGCACATGATGTTGACCCTTTATGCTTTTTAGCTGGGTTTTGCAGACTAGACTCCATCAGCTTTACAACATTCTGTGGGCCCCTATGGGCCTGTAACCCGTGGCAACTTAGCATTGACACAACGCTTAACAACGCCCTTTGATTGGGTGTCTTTCCTGTATACACAAATACACACGGTGAGTTGATACTTGCTATAGAATGTCAGGATCATGTGTCGCACCACTACCTTTTTTTTCCGCACACTTAGGCGGCTTAAACAGCATGAAGCACGGGATCTTCAGAAGAACATCCCAAAAAGTCTTTGGCCACATTTCGCCATGCATTTCAGGGGCGTGCCATTCTTCTTGGGCGCCTTGGGCAACGTCTTGATGAAAATCGCCAGTGCTGGGGCTCACGGTTTGCTGGCCATCAACTGGGTGCTGGCAGGCCAGGTCAACTTCAAATGACCGATCTACGACTGTTCGACTTGACGTGGTGGATGGTTGTGGACGTAAACGAAACGTGGTGGTGCAGTGGTAGCCTGCACAGAGAGCAAAGAAGCTGAGAGATGATGTGAGACATATTGCAGGAGATAATACAAAGTCGATATGACAAATGTGTGACTGTCATATTTTAATAAGTAATTGCATGTTGACCTTCTTGCCGCTAGTCAGAAGACTTTACCCGACTTGCTCAGTCTGAGTCTTGTTATGCCACTGACCCTGGATTCATTCCCACATGTTTGGACCTGTTCAGAGCAAATGAACATGGTCCCCTGTGTAGAGGAACATGCTTCAGATAGTCCACATGTGGTGATCTGTCAGTGGCAAGCGATGCGGTTGCACATGCTTGTTCTCTTCCTCAGCTCTGGAGCCGGCCCTGTGGACGACTTGCCAGGAGCAGAGCCTGGTGCGCCGTTGGTGGCATCCTTTGTCGCTTGGAGGATGCATGTGTGTAGACACTGTATGGTCGGCCATCAGTGCCACCGGTGCCATCGGCATTGAAACGGCACTGTGCCGGAGGTATTTGGGTCCATCCTCAGAAAAAAAGAAAACGATCCACGGTGTTGTTGAAAAGCTCATGGTGATCTGATCGGTCCACAACATCCACAGAGCTTGTTGGGGGAGAAAGTTGCCTGGCGGCTCGCCCAGAGATGGGCTCGCACCCGCGGGCGCGCGGGCCAGGTGATCCGTCGGTGCCTAGTCTAGTTGTCCATCTACCGAGATCCGGAGGGCATGTTTGTCCTCTTGGAGTCATGGCCATGTGAATCAATGAAAGTGTGCATGCCGTATCTTTCATCGCCTTAATCCCAGGGCAAAAAGAACGGGGTATGCAATAAGTAGAAGTATGTGAATTGCCGGTTTGCCTTTATCATCCCTTTCACCATCGCCCAACGACGCCACCGC